GACAAAGATTGATTGGAAGAAACGTTTCAAGCAAGAAGATTCAAACACACACATACTAAACATGAATAGGAATTCTTAAGCTATTCCATAGTTATTCAAAATACATTCACAATAAATGATTAAGACCTGATAAGACACATGTGGGTTACATACATGATATGGAGTTATGCATAGCAATGATTAGTAGCTCACCAGTCCTTTTAGTGTCATTTAGATGCATATTTACATGGAAATGCAGTTTCTTTGCCATTCTGTGGATGAGGACACGTTCTGTGAAGACCAGAGGCTAAGAGGTCTGTAAGGAATCTCTGAAAGTCTGTTCTTTGTCTCCTAGGTGGGGGAGTCAATCCAAAGAGCTTGTGATTGCTATCACTGGTTACCATGTGATGGTCACGCCGTGCATCTCTTTTGACCATTAATCTTAATTACTTGCCCCCAAAATGTACAATCTCCTTGGAATTGTCAATAAGTGTTCTTTTGTTTAAATGTTGATAGCTGTTCTGTGAAAGAGTTGGTTAGGCTTGCTTCAGACTGGCTAGTGCGAGGGTCTGATTTATGAACATCCTGTGTCTTGGGCCTCTTGTGGAATTTGGCTCCTCATGCTTCAACCATGTTTTGACCAAATCTTAGATTGTCTGATTCGGTCTGATATCTTACAATGAACACAGGACATACTTGATGATGGTCAAGTAGAACTGTTTCAGCAGCTTCTGTGGCAGGTTGATTTTCATTAGTTGACAAAGGAAGTACAACATCTGCTGGGCCTTTTTAGCAATGGAGTCTATGTAAATGTCCCACTTCAGATCCTGAGAGATTGTGGTGCCCAGAAACTTGAATGACTCCACTGCTGCCACAGTGCTGTTCATGGTGGTGAGTGGGGGGAGTGCTGAGGGGTTTCTCCTGAAGTCCACAATCATCTCCACTGTTTTGAGCATGTTGAGCTCCAGGTTGTTGTGATTGCACCAGACAGCCAGCTGCTCAACCTCTTGTCTGTCAGCAGACTCGTCTCTGTTGTGTATGAGGTCGATGATGGTACTGTCATCTGCCAATTTCAGGAGCTTGACAGAGGGGTCTTTTGCAGTGCATTCGTTTGTATACAGCGAGAGGAGCAGTGGGGAGAGCACACATCCCTGATGGGCACCAGTGCTGATGGTGATAGTCCTGGATGTGAGTTTATCCAGCCTCACTAGCTGCTGCCTGTCTGTCAGGAAGCTGGTGATCCACTGACAGATTGGGGTGGGCATGTAGAGCTAGGTCAGTTTGGCTGAGAAAAGGTCAGGCAGGATGGTATTGAAGGCCGAACTGATGTCTACAAACAAGATCCTTGCGTAAGTCCCAGGTCTATCAAAATGTTGCAGAATATAATGAAGTCCCATGTTGACTGCATCATCCACAGGCCTGTTTGCTCTGTAGGCAAAATGAAGAGGATCCATCAAGGGTCCAGTGATGTTCTTCAGGTAGGCCAGGACCAGTCTTTCAAATTACTTAATGATCAGAGACCCGACATTCTCACATCTATGGTCATTAAGTCCAGTGATTTTGTTTTTTTGGGGAGACTGGAATGATGGTGGAGCATTTGAGTAGCAGGGAACTTCACACAGCTTCAGTGATCTGTTGAAGATCTGTGTAAAGATGGGGGCCAGTTGATCAGCACAGACGTTTAGACAGGCAGGTGAAACACCATCGGGGCCTGAAGCTTTCCTAGTCTTCTGTCTTCTAAAGACCTGGTTCATATCCTCTACACATACCTTAAATGCAGGTTGAATGGTGGGGGAGGGAGGGGGGTTGCAGGGGCTAGGTGAATGTGTGAAGTGCAGATTAGAGCAGGTGGGATGTTATGGCGGGCCAAAAGGTCAGAAAATAGTAGCTACTGGCAATTGTATAGTGAATTCCCGTGACAAGTCATTAGCCCTGAGTTTACCACTGATAAGCCGGCGGTGCATCTGTTTACACACTCTCCTCAAGCGGTGGGCGACTCACTTTCCTCACGCAGCGGACCACTGACTCTCCTTAGCCGGTGACTTACTTTCCTCACGCAGCGGTCCACTGACTTTCCTCACGCAGCGGACCACTGACTCTCCTCAGCCGGTGACTCACTTTCCTCACGCAGCGGACCACTGACTCTCTTCAGCGGATGACTCACTTTCCTCACGCATCTGACCCATGAGCGGACCACTGACTCTCTCTTCATGTACAGGGACCGAATATTAGAATTAAAATGACTTCTATATTTGATCCAAAAGACTATTTAGATATGATATTTAAATATTCAGAAACGTGTACAGTGTATTATTTTTTGTTTAACTTTCATTAAAATATTTAAATAAAATGAGAAATAATTGCCTATTGCAAATTTATGAATGCATGGTTAACTTTATTTTTTTCCTGCAGTTACTAGGCTATATGTATTGAGACATTTCAAAATCTATATTTTGTAAAAAAAATAAAAAAAATAAAAAATAGTAATAATAATACAATAAATAAATAAATAATTTATTTTTTAAGTAACGTTAATGTTGGCGAAGTACTCAGAGTAGCCTAATACGACACCTTGCGCTCTACTTTTGTGTTCTTGCTCGTTTTTTTGGGTCGACAACTTATAAAAACGTAATTCTGGGGTTTTAGCTTGTTTGCTGTACACCTTGACACACAGCAGCTTTTAGACATTGTTGTGTATTTTGTTATAAGTCAGAAATGACAAGGACGCAGCTTCCCGCAATACAAAATCAATGGTGAGGGTTGGATTGGTGGTCCTCTGTATATACAGTCAGGTTAAAGGTGCAGTAGGAGATCTGGGAAAATGCTAACTTTAGCCTGATAGCACTGAAAGCGAACGTCCCACCCTCCCTGCAATCGCCGTCCAATGCCACGCCCCTGAACGCATTTACGCACAGACCAGAATACCAGAGACAACATTACAATAGGCTACATCAGCGTTTCCCAATTCCAGCCCATGTTCCGAAGTGAAGTAAACTTCAACGGATTTCCCCTGCTCAGGGAGTAGGGAGCAATGAACACTGTGTAGGGATCATATCGATCAGAACACAGTTCATGCACGTAGCTCACTTCTAACGAGCTGGTTATCTGAATCTTGAGGACTGGAATTGGGAACCGCAGGGTTACATCATGTGTCATTCACTGGTGAGAAAACTTTAAAAGTACTACAATACCAGGAAGGAAGATCGGGTTGTTGATGTTTGTCTGCCATTCTCGCTCTGTCTACACAGCGTGCGTGAATGCGCTGATGATGTATCCTGTCTGCGTGAACCGGGTACGCAGAGGTATACAGATACATAAGTTGACAGGCAGATAGGAAAGCTAATTAAAACATTCGGACCGAGCGTTTTGATTGGACGTACATTTCTTGGTCCTACGCCTTATATAAATACAGATAAATAAATTTAGACCACTTAACTTAATGATTGCTATCGGGATGTGAAAAGACTTTCAACCAGCATAACAAAAAATTTTCTGAAGACAATCACCTATTGCAACTTTAAGGCAGCGGTTTTCAATTTCATTGGTGAATTGGACGTGGTACCCTACCTAAAAATGTTTCCACCAGCTGCCACTGCTTTTTTTTTTTAATTAGCCAAAAAGGTATTTGTTTCACTTTAAAGTATTGAACATTCATAATAGCACCAAGTGCCATTTTGTATCTTGTTTACTTTCAGGTTAGGCTATGTCTTTTATAATTGTCTAATAGGCAAATATAGACAAAAAAATTAAATCCGATTAAAGTATTAACACAAACAGTTGTACTTTTTTTTTATTGAACACAGAGTAATATCATTCACAATGCAGTCTGGAAAATTATTTTTTTAGTTTAAACAACTTCTCAAAAAACAAATTGGAGTCAGGCATTGCATTTCAGTGGAGTTTTTTTCTGAATAATGCACTGATACTATAACTCAGATTTCAATGTATTTTGTAAAGTTTGTTACTTTAACTTGATCTAACCTTAAAAGTCCATTGAAACAAAATTTGTGTTAACAGAAATAGATTATCAAACAAAAAATCTAAATATGATTATAATCTGAATAACATTTTTAATTATAATCTGTTTATAATCTGATTATAATCTGAATAACACACTTGTGAAGTTTATTTGACAAGAGAAAAAAGTTGTTATTAAAAGTTATTCTCTTTTTTTTCATTTTTTAATAGTGTGGGGTGCTCACACTTCAGTGTCCAGATATATTTTTCATAATGTTATTATAGTAAGGTCTAAGTGATAATGTTTTTATTTTACAGGACAACTTTAATACAAATGATATTAATATTGTAATTGATTAATTATAGACCTTAAAAGCTTCTCCTTTTGGCAACAAATTTAGAAACATTTCACATTAAAGATTTGGGAAAATGGTTAACACATATTAAAAGCAAGTTATTTGTGATTCAAACTCAGAGCACTTGCAGAGATGGAGTTTGCGTGGAGCAGCATTTACTGTGAACCATCTGAGCTGTTCACAATGCTGGATTTACTGGAACTGGTGCTTGCATGTAAATGAAAACTGAATAGTGCTGTGCTTTACTCTCAAGTAATTGCAGAGTATTGCAGCCTTTCTTGTTTGATAATCACTCTTAGCAAAATCACAATTTCGACAATGTGATTCATTCATTGTTTTGGTAATCATACGTACAAATCAATTACAGTAATGCATTCACAATGTCTGATGTCAATACAATACAAAATGATGTAAAGAAAAATACTGGAAAATAAACATAAAAGTCAAAAAATATAAAAATCTAAGTCTTTTTCTCGTTTTTCTCTTATCGGTTGTAACAGATTGTATTTTCTTGTCTTGTGGAAGAATATCTGATTTATTGTTTTCTATACATGTATCACATGAAATAATTTCTAATTCGTTTTTTAATTTTGCACAACATACAGGTAAATTATTGTGGAGAATTTATGACAAAATTTAAAGACAAATATCTCAATTCAGTTCTTCATTATATACGGTAATTAATTACCCTCAACCTACATTGCCGTTTGTATTGATATTATCTTTCATGATACTTGCAGCATACTTTAGTGAGGCCCCTGCTTTTTATCAACAATCAAGGCTACAACTCTGCCAACAACTCCACAAACAATTTCACCAGCAACTCCACCAATTATAGCACCAACTGCGATGCCTTTTAAAAAATATTTCCAATACTTGGAAAAAAAATTCTTAAATCCACTTGTCTCTTCGGAATCTGGTGTGTTTTTGTGCTCCTCTTGTTGTTTCTCATTATTCTCTCTCTGCATCTCCACACTAAGTTTTTCTATTTCAGATCTCAGAGCTTCTATTTTTCTGGTTTTATCCTCCATCTCCTTTTTCATTCCCTCAAGCTCCTCTTGTCTTAGTTTCTCTCCTTGATTTCTCTCTTCTTTGTTTCTCTGCATCTCCACTCTAAGTCCTTCTATTTCAGAGCTCTGAGCTTCTATCTTTGCACTTTTCTCCTCTTTGTTTCTCTGCATCTCCACTCTAAGTCCTTCTATTTCAGAGCTCTGAGCTTCTATCTTTGCACTTTTCTCATCTGTCTCCTTTCTCATTTGTTCACTCTCGTCTTGTCTTTTTTTCTCTTCTTGATTTCTCTCCTCTTTGTCTTTCTGCAGCTCCACTCTAAGTCTTTCTATTTCAGATCTCTGAGCTTTTATCTTTCTGCTTTTCTCCTCTCTTTTTTCCCTCTCTCTCTCCATTTCCTCTCGTCTTTTTTTCTCCTCTTGTTGTTGTCTCACATTATTCTCTCTTTGTATCTTTGTTCTGATGTTCTCCTCGGTCTCCTTTCTTGTTTTATCAATCTCCATTTTTTGTCTGAATCTCAGAGCATCTTCAAACATTTCATTACTGTAGTATCCTCCTCCATTCTGCTTTATCATTGTGTCAATCTTCTGCAGTAGATCATTCACCTGCTCTATGTTATTCTCATCTCTATTGTTGAAGACATGATATCTGCCTCCACACTGATCAACTATATTTTTTAGATTTTCATTATCATTAATGAGCTTTTCTACTGACATTTTTTGTAGCTGATCTTCATGTGTGAAGAGAATGATGGAGTATTTTAACACTTCTTCTCCAAACAACATCTCAATGATCTGAGGAATCTCTACCTCCTGGTCAGTGAATCTATTATTCACAGGAAACACAATGAGAAAAGCATGTGGTCCAGGACAGGATAAATAAACACTTCTCGCTATCTCTATCATGAACTGCTCAGGTGCCATCTGTGTGTCAAAGAATCCAGGAGTGTCAATTACAGACACGTTCCTGCCTGAAACAGTCGCATGTTTCTCTGAGGATTTACGGGTCACTGAATTTGTGCCATTTAAAGATTTAAACTCTTTCTTTCTCAGTATTGTGTTTCCAGATGCACTCTTCCCAACGCCAGTTTTACCCAGCAGCACAATTCTTCTGGATAAACGATTGGAAACAGGAATCTCCTGGATGTTGGTGGAAATTCTTTTTGGTCCTTTTTGTGGCACTGAAAAAATATAAAATAAAATAATAATAATACACATTTTTTACATTTGTACATTTATATTGTGCCAACTACTACATCTAATAATGTAGTAAACTGCTAAGTTATTGTAAAATTTTACTGTTAACTTGTTGTAGATGCTAATGATTTAGACAGGGGTTTTCAAACCTGTCCAGGAGCACGCCAGCGCTGCACATTTTGTATGTCTCCTTCATCAAACACACCTGATTGAACTCATCAGCTCATTACTAGATACTGCAAAACCTGAAGTGGATGTGTCAGATGAGGGGTACATACAAAATGTGCAGTGCTTGATGTCCTCTGGGATAGGTTTGAAAACCCCTGGATTAAGCCACTCTCTTTTTATTTACAACAAGAAAGTAAAGGTTCTCCTTTATTGTTAATCTTTGTTTGGGAAACTTCATTAATGAACAAGAAAGCATATTTCCTTCATGCCTAATATGAACAGACATCAATACACTTACAAGTGTGTATGTTCCCCTGGACAAGTGCAGACAGAAGAGATTTCACTTGGCCACCACATCTTTTTCTATCTTTGTTGTTCAATACGTGGAATCTGGGTTCATACATTTGTACAAGTTTCTTCAAAGCTTCATTCTCATCAATGACAGTACTTATGGCTCCTTCTTCAAGTTCATCTTCTCTGGTGAAGATAATCCAGGTATTGTCTTTGTGTTTTTCTCCCAACAACTCCTCAATTTGTTCCACAATTCTTTGATCTTCTTGATTGAATCTGTCTGCCCGGAGAACCAGGAGAAATGCACACAAGCCCGATTCACATTTCTGCAGGACTTCTTCATATATCCCATGCTCTGCATTAGAAAATCCTGGTGTGTCATAAACTCTGACAGGCAATCCACAAACATCACCAACTTCAACGGTAACAGCTTCTGTGAGTGATGTGAAAGCTTCCCGTCCCAGTATTGTGTTTCCTGTTGAACTTTTCCCAACTCCCGATCTTCCCAGCAAGACCAAATTTAAACGGATATTTTCCATCATCTCCATTTTTTTTATTTCGTAGCCTAAAAAGTAGTGACATAAGCATGGTTTAAGAGAGATAATAATAAACATAGAGCAATTTACTGCAATAACTGAAGTTGCCTATGAAATTATTTTCTATAATAAAATAAAAGTAATGTCAAATAAAGTTAATGTATTTGAATGTCAAATCCTTTAAATAAAGGTATTTTTATTCTGTATAACGACATTCCGTTAGCATCTAACATCTGAATTCCAATGTTTAATGACACAAATACAAAGTTCTGTCATGAAACACTAGATAACGCTGGCTGATAGGTCCTTAACTCAACCTGCTTCCAATCACACCATTCTATATAGGTCACATCTGATTGGTTCCTGCCGTATCAGTAGCCAATGAGCTCGCAGCTCAATCTTCAAATACTTGGTCAGCATTTGCTATAGCAGTTTGCAGTGCACTTTCAGAAAACCTTCCGCCTTCCCCAGCTCCACCTGTATAGATGTGCTATGGGTAATTCATGAATGCTATATTGTACAGCAGCAGGTTTTACTTTCCTACAGCAGCATGTTGTGTATTTATTTGCAGTAGCAAATCACATACTTGCTCTGCAGCAGCAGCGTAGCAGATCTAAGACCAAACAATGTCATACCCATTACCATGCCAAACACTCTGAGAGTTGTCATGACAGAACTTTGGACTACAACATAGTCATAAAATACAGAATGTCTTATAAATTATTGTTATGGGTTAATTATTCAATACATTTTATGCTGTTAACAGTACAGATTTTGAATGTCTCTCTTATCTAACACTAGAGATGTAGTCAAGACCTGCGACTGTATTCACAAACATTCTTAAGGCTAAATGTTGCTTATAACGTGGAAATATCATGAGCCGTTTAAAGGGTCCAGCTCTAAATTTTACATCCAACATCTGAAGGATGCCTGCAGTTGTCAATCCACAGTGCAGCTGAGTATAATAGGACTATATAGGAATGTTACAATGATATCAGTCTTTTAAAAGGGTATCACTTGTATCGTGAGGGAGTTTTCATGGGTAATATGTTATTAATTTTGCTTTATTGTTGTGTTGTGATTCTACATTAAGAGATCATCACAGTTTTAATTGTAAAAATATGAATGCGTTTTAAAACACATTGTAGTAGTTGAAATAAGTTGGTTAGTAATAAATGAATAAATGAATGAATGTGTCACGTGCATGTTGTTTTGATTTAGATTTGCCTGTGTTTTCTGTTCTCCCTGCCTTGACCCAGTTTTCCCTAGTCTCCTGATTTTGTCATTTTGTTCACCTGTGGCTTGTTAATTTACTTATTAGTTCTTTGTTTGGTTTATTATTTATAGCCCTGCCTTTCCTTATTTGTCCTGTCTCCATCGTTTAAAGTGGTTGATTTCTCCTACCTTCATTGAGGATTTATTAAAGACTATGTTCGTTTGACTATCTGCCTCCTTCGTACTCCTTCAAGCTCCTTTCCCCAGCAACCCGTGACCGAATGAATGAATGAATGAATGAGGCATTTATATAGCACTTTACTATGTACTACTCTACACCCCAAGCGCTATACATTTATATGAAGGGGTCTGTACTCATTCACTACCAGCGTGCAGTACCCACTTGGATGGTGGAGAGGAGAGAGAGCAAATTCAGTGGATGGGGATTATTAGGAGGCCATGACTGAAAGGGCAAATGGAGGGAATTTGGCCAAGACACCAGGGTTAAACCACTGCTCTTTACGATAATTGCCATGGGATTTTTACTGACCACAGAGTGTCACGACCTCGGTTTCGCGTCTCATCCAAAGGACGGTGCTATTTACAGTATAGTGTCCTTTCACAATACTAGGCCATTAGGACCCACACAGACCACAGGGCAGAGGTGGGGGACTCAAGTCAAGTCTGACTCAAGCCGCAAATTTAAGGACTTGTGACTTGCTTGACAAAATAAAGAAAATGACTTGACTTGACTTAAACTTGGGATTCAGTGATTTGAGACTTGACTTGAACTTCATGACTTGGCAGGACTTGACTTTATAAAAACTGTAATGAAATATTATTATTTTTTAATTAATAAATAATTGCGACTTATATTAGCCATACGACCCGGAAGAACGACCATATTAGCCCAGTTCTGTCAACACTGCACTGGCTCCCCATTAAACATCGTATACATTTTAAAATCTTGCTAATGCCTTATAAAGCCCTGGATGGTTTAGCTCCTCAGTACTTGAGTGAACTCTTATTGCATTATAGTCCCTCATTCCGCTACTATCTCAAAGCTCTGGCCATTTGATAATACCTAGAATATCAAAATCAACTGCGGGTGGCAGATTCCAAAAAACCCTGGCGCCTAAAGGGTTAATTATTCAGACTGTCCTCCAACAAAAAACGACCCTATAGGTCAAACTCCACCCCTAATCCTACCCTCACAGAAATCATGCAAAATCATGATTTACAGTGCATGTACATTTTATGAGCATGTGTGTTCTCGGGGATTGAACCCATGATCGTGATTGTTGATATATTGTTGTATAACGTGATGTTCTACCAACTGAGCTATACCAAACCCAAATTATGACACAGATAAAAGAGTACAAAGCATTAATAGGAAAGTGTCCTGTTGTCCAATGGGTCGTATTTCAGGGATAATGACAAACGACCTATACGGGCGTATTGGTTGGAGGACATTTTGTAAATATTTTTCTTAAAATTCATCTGAAGTGTGTCATTAAATTAAAGTGATTATAAATGATTAATCTCATGTTTGTAACTAACGATGTCAAACTTTAAATTCGCTGGTGTTTGCCTCTCAAAACATAGTGCTTTAATGTCAAATATGTCCCTAATGACTGAAAACAATATGGAATTGTGCCACGGGAATCATAATGTTTTTTCAATTAGAGATGATTCTCTTGCACCCAAAATTCAATATATATCGTAAAATGGCCCTAGTATGAGTTCATTTTTATATAGGGGTGTCAAACATAAGGCCAGATATTTAATCCGGCCCAGGGGACGATTTGAACAGTGATGGAAATAGCACTGGTCCACCGGCCATAAATCTCAACGGTTTTTAGTTTTATTTTAGCCGATCTCTATTCCGGACTTCTGAAAATGACTGCAAAGTCTGTAAACAGGACATTAACACACGCAAATGCTGAAGACTTTTCCTCTTATCTCCCTATAAAATAGTGGACTATAAATGCAGCAAGGAAACCTTAGCATCACCTAATGGCAGAGAATTTGCATAGTCATTCAGACCGTCTCTTTTTGCTCTAAATCTTGAACTTGTAACAATGTAATTTAAATAATAAATTAAAAAAACAACTCATGCTCGTATGTGTAGCATCTTTGTTTGGATTGTAATTAAAATGGAGTGGTTGCCTCTAATCTAATCGCTACACATTTTTAAGACCAAACTGGCCTGTTATAGAATAAACAACATATAAATTTGCTTAAAGAAAAAATTTATCGGCTACAAGTATCAGAATCGGACAATTTGCTGGTAATAAACAATGGAATATTGTACCATGAAAAATCTAAATGGGTGCGTTACTAATAAAAATAGTAAATAAAACATTATTTAAAAAAAAAATCTAAATTTAAAAGTATTATATAAATGTATTTTACATGGAAAAACAAATGCAGTTTTCAAAGAGCAGCGTGTTTTTCTAGTATTTTGCTAATTCATTTGTAGTCTGTAAGGTTAATATTAATGTAATTATCAGCACACCAAGGTTTAAAAAATGGAATTCAGCCTGCACGTGGTTAAATTTTTTCCCCATCTGGTCCTCAACCTCAAATGAGTTTGACACCCCTGATTTATAACAAATGATATTAAAGGGGTCATATGATGCTTTTTTAAAGATCGTTATTTTGTGTATTTGGTGTAACAAAATATGTTGACATGCTTTAATGTTCAAAAAACAAATTATTTTTCAAATACTGTACATTATTGTAGGTCCTCTATGCCCCGCCTCTCTCAAACGCTTCGTTTTCTATAAAGTCCCTCCTTCCGACAAGCGCAGTCTGCTCTGATTGGCCAGCTGACCCAGTGCATTGTGATTGGCCGAACACCGCAAGCACTCGTCGGAAATGTAACGCCCCTTACCATAAGTGCGAGCTTCATCTTTCAAAATAAATGTAAAGACAGAGCCCGAAAGGGGAACAGAGTCACGTGACAGACACAGTGATGAAGCGGGTATGTGTTTGCAGTACACAAGCCACGGTTAAGACAGCTGACTCCACTGTGATGTGACCCTGTCTCTCTCTCTCTCTCTCTCGCTCGCGCACA